AAAAAACAACTGTTTTCATTTAAGATCTGTAAAGAAATATGAAAATTTATGATACATTTTTTACTCAGGTATGATTGATATTAACGTTGTGTAAGTTTGAGATGAACCTGTTGGTTTGATCCATTTATATATGGCAAAATTATAACTATAGTAGTGTTAGCTAATACCAGTAGTATGTCACATAATTGTCATTTATTTTTTTGTTTTTTCTGTTGAGAACAATTAATATCTAGCCTCTTAGCAACTCTGAAGTTTATAACACAGTATTGTTGACTATAATCACTATACTGTGCATTAGATCTCCAGAATTTGTCTACCAGTTTCAAGTTTGTACCCTTAAACATCTCCTCAATTTCCCCACCCCAGCCTCAGTTTAGGTAACCATCATTCTACTGTTTTCACAAGTTTAGTTTTTTCTTTAGTTTCCATATATACGTGATATACAATAGTTGTCTTTCTGTGACTTATCTCACTTAGCATAATGCCTTCAAGGAAGAACATTGATCCACCTTAAGGCTTTATGATACTTATACTATTAAGAGGCTATTTTCCAGTTTGGACTGCTAATTAGTATACAAAAAGGTGCTCAACATCCTTAGTCATCAAGAAATGCAAATTCAAACCTCAATGAGGTATCACTAGAATAATACCAGAGTAATTAAAATTAAAAAGACTGCCAATACCATGTTGGCAAGGATAAAAAGTAACTGGAACTCTCAGTTAGTTGGAAGGTAAACTGGTGAAACCATATTGGAAAACTGACAGCAACTAAAAAAATTTACAAACATACCTAGGATCCAGCAATTTCACTCCCAGCTATATACACTACAGACATATCTATACGCATGCACCAAATAACATGGACAAGGATGTTCTTGGCAGCTTTGTACGTAATGAGCCAAACCTGGTAATAGTGCACATGTCCATCACAGGAGGAAGGATAAATACCTATATTTATATGTGATATATTCATACAGCGGGTTGTAACTCAGCAATAAGAAATGGATATATGCAAAAATGTGGATGAATGTCACAAAATATGTGAAAGAAAACCAAGCAGAAAAGAGGACCAATTATATGATTTTTTTAATATGGGAATCAAAACAACCACAATTATTTGCTAATGATAGTGTAGGAGATCACAGTGACCCTATGGAGAGTATTAACTATGACACGGTACAATGGAGTTTTCTTGAGAGCTCAGTATGTTCTGTATCTAGATCTGGCTACTGGTTTCATAGGTATATATACATACGTAAAAAAAATCATTGAGCTTCATAATTGAAAATCATTTACTTACTAAAATATTTTAATAGAAATATGATTATATGTCCAGTAGTGTAGAAAAGCCCTGTTGAAGGGACACTTCTGGTCTGGCTGATTTCCAAGCAGCCAGCCTTGGTCCCAGAGTGACCTTGTTTCTGGACAATATAATTTAAATTCTGTGCTTAGGAGCCAGTGATGCTGAAATGTAGATTCAGTGCCATTTCTTCTTCTTATGAAATGCCATGCAGTCATAATTACTTATCATTTTCTGTTCTCAAACACAGACGTTAGCAACTTAAAACCAATTTACAGACTGCTTATCCATCTATGTAGCCAGCACAACTTTCCCAACTCCTTGTAAGCTATTGTTTAAGTAACAACTAGGTGTATCTATTCTTGGAGGACTGTGATGTAAGTCTAAAAGAAGAGTTTCCTTAATAGTCATCTTTTTTGACTTCTAAAAATACATGTCCAATAAATACCTTATTTCATAATTTTTTCATATCAATGTCTTATTTTCAGACACAATATATTATTGTTTCAAAGGATGACAACATGGAGACCTGGATAAAGGTACAGACCCCATTTCCAAAGCATGCTCTAAAGGGCACTGTTTTCTATCTTGGCCCACAAGGCAGGAAGGCACACAAGCCACTACTGGAAATTCAGGCCACTACATCTGCTGAAGCACTGAGTTTTGCTTTTGTTGAAGTTTGGCATGGTCCTCTGTGAGCAGCTGTCCCAGATACAAAATCACGTAAGGGATTAGTTCCCTGGGGATGAAGCAGAAGTCACAGGTTTTGTTTGTCTTTGGAAAGCTCAGAATGCTGTTTCAGTACTGCCTTTCTGATCTTTGAGATGGAGCAAACCCCCATGCTCAGGAGATGATTTTGACACCAGAGGACATGCTTGAATGTCATTTTTCTTCTTGGGAGTGTTTGTTTCTTAAATGGTTACCTTGACATATTATTAAATGTGTCACTGCTCTCAATTAAAATCTCTTTTTACAAGCCAGGTGCCACTCTCAGTATTGCAATGGCTGAAACAAAGTAAAATATGGAAGATTTTTCACATCAATGGTCCTGGTAGAGCCAGAAAATTAATTGGATTCCTTTTAGATGAATCTTTTATGGGTCAGCAGATTTATTCAGAGTTACTTAAAAAGCAGTTAACATTCCATTAGCAACAAACTGTGATCTGTGTCAGCAATAAGACACTCTTTAGTCATTTATTTTAGTGCAAGAAGTCACTTCAGAAAAATGCAATTACTGAGTATCTAAGAGGCAAATAAATACTGAGGCTAGACGAGGTCATTTTTTTTCTTATAGAATTATGCGCATTCTCTTTGATTCTTTGTTTCATTTAATCAAAACATTTGGATGTTTTATTTTTGTCAGTTTATGATCAGGAAAGATGAAATGATTTTTTTAAAACAACACTAAAGCTAACATATTTTTTAAAAGTTCATAAGAAATCATTTCAGTAACAAGTGCTTGGAGCCATTGTACACAGAGGATGGAAAATGCTCTGTGGGGTTTCCCAAGCCCATGTTGAGGGACAGGGACGCTACCAGACATGAAGAGAGGCCTCACCTCAAATGCTGGGGAATCTCAGGGAGGCCAGCGTTCAGATGCTCATTAATGCACCGCACCCTTCACCTGGACTGCGTTGGGCTTAACATCAGTGCCTATACTTTTTGAACTTCTCTTGGTATTGAGAAGAGAGAAGCAGATAGTAGGAAAATACCAAAGGGGTCAGTTATGCTGAAGTTGGCTTCCTATACAATAGAGATGTTCACAGAGCTGAGGCCTTTTTGACTTTAAAAAATATGTATTTATTTATTTATTTTTAGAGCAGGGAAGGGAGGGAATAGAGAGTGAAACATCAATGTGCGAGAGATACATGGATCAGTTGCCTCTCGCATGCCCCCAACTGGGAAACTGACCTGCAACCCAGGCAAGTGCCCCGACTGGGAATTGAACCAGCGACCTTTTGGTTCACAGACTGGCATTCAATCCACCAAGCCACACCTGCCAGAGCACTTTTTGACATTTGAAATAAGTGGATGACAAGGATGCTGGAGGAAACTGAAAGCATCCATGTTATTTTTCTCTCTGAGTTAATGAAATGAATCTGAAATGAACCTCTTTTCCTGGGAAGATGGGAGTAAATTTATTTATCCCCTTTCCTCCCAATAAGTACAACTAAAATCTGTATGTATATACATATACCTATTTTTATATATATCTAGATAGGTGGATGGATATAATTCTGAAAGATGAAGAGGAGAAGGCTGACTGGCTAAAGACAACCTTGGAACTCAAGAAAGGGCCAGGAAAAGGTCAGTCTAGTGGACAGAAAATTTAAGACAGTAACTTGTCTACTCCAGCCAGACCCCATAGAAAGAACTGTGGTCTCACACTAACAATTTAAGGCCAAATGGCAGCCTCTACCTTTACACTCACACTTGCCAGGCTGTAATGAAGTGCCGCAGCCCCTCTTCAGAGGGGTGTCAGGGAAAGTTGAGTAGAAGGTAAGGCTTCCATACTCATAAACAGTAAGAAGGCTCTGCCCCCCACCCCTCACTGCCAGAGAGACTGCATGGAAAGCCTGAACTAGTCACATCCGGCAGTAACAAGACAGTTCCTGCCCTTCCCACCTTGGGTAGTGCAGAGAGAGGACTTTCACCATCTGTCACTCATGATGAGGACACTATCCTTGTGATGTCACTGGGGGCCATGTGAGGAACAAGAACCAGGCACTCATAGCTCTCCTGCCATAGGACGCCCAGTGGGGAGCAGGAACTCCCAGCTGACCCAGCAGTGTTACGCAGCCTCCCACCACTTGAGCGTCAACGGAGGCCGATGGGGAAACCTGGACTTGTACCCTCACTTGGCAGTAACAAGTTGGTATCATATCTTCTCCTGCTTGTGTGCTACTGTATGACACCAACCAAAAGAGAAGGTTTAAATAAGATTCAGGGCCTCATAACGTAATACCCAAAATGTAGAAGTTTCAAATAAAAATCCTTCTTCATATCAATAACCAGAAAGATTTTAATTTGAAAGAAAAAAAGACAATAAGCACCGGCACCAAGGTGGCGGAGATGTTAGGATGACCTGACAAAGATTTTAATGCAGGCATCTTCAACAAGCAGTAATGATAACAAAAGCTTCAGGAAGCAATTGTGAACATGTCTGAAATAACAGTGAGTATCAACAAAGAAACAGAAAGACAGCAGAGAAATGGATGATATGAGGAAGAACCAGGTAGAAATTTTAGAACTGAAAGACACGATAACTGAAATTAAAAAAAAAACAAAACTTGTTGGATAGCACATAATACTCCAAATAATAGTTATCAGAAATGATGAATCCTTCCATCTTATATGCTAATTTTACCATTAATGTTTTGAAGACTCATAAGCAACATCAACATGAGAAAATGAGCAGTACTAGTAACAGAAATAGTATTGTCATCAAAATCACTTTCTTCAGTTTTACAATAAATGTACTCCTGTAGTTTAAAAGCAAACCAATTTCAACATTTGCATCCAATCCATTAACTCATAAATTACACGTAACATATTCAGAGAATAGATTTACTATTAAAAATCAATACATAAGGACTATTATAATTGAAACAGTATTCCTCAGAAAATCAAAAGATGAAATAATCATGAAAATATGTTCAATTTTACTTAAGAACAAGAGATATTTTGGAAAAAATATTTTTTATTTTTTCTTCAACATCAAAGGAGCACCCTTGATGGGAGAGGACACCCCTGTCCTTATGATATTAGTATTTTCAATGACAAAATTGTGCCGGATAATTTGCTTTTTGTCCAAATTCTTGTTAGTTGTGTCAATTTTGGCTTTTACATTCCTTGGTGGCATAATGGCTTCAGGAACTCCATTGACAAGATACAAACGGTACATATCCAATGTCTGGAAACAAGGAGAGGAAGAAATTTTGTATAAAATATGCAGGGACTGAGAAAACTGTAGGAAAAAGTTTACCAAATTAACACCCATGTTCTCCATGTATGGTCTAGGAAAGGTACAAAACTGAAGTAACATGGATAAAAGCAAATAATATGGAAAATCACTTCAGAAAAGCATTTGGTTTAATGCATTAAGAAGCATTCACTGAAAAGTTTCTCATAACTAGAGGTCTGCCATGTGAATGAACTAATAAGCATCCATTTGATATAAGAGGAAGCAATCTACTGGTGTGCATGAAACTGTTGCCCAGCAGGAACTATAACTAATGGAAACAATACATTGCAAGGTGAACCTACACATGACAATTTAACTGTGGCAATAGAACCAACTGCTAAAATATGTGGAGCTGCTGCTACTTCTTATTTTTAGATTATGAAAGTACATAATTAATACAACCATTTGAAATTTCTAATCATGGTGTAAAATTAGTAATCATAATCTAAATCCAAGTCAGTACAACTTATACAGGGACTTATTTTAAAATGCTTCATTTCTTCTGCATAATGCACAAGATGGCAATATTACATTAGGCAGACTAGCATTTTCTGCATGGTTACATTCATACTTAAATCCCACTGCTCTTGCAGAATTTCCTGATGCTGCCTGTGTTCATCTAGGACTTCTACCTTGCAGTAAGATTTGTACCATGTATGTTCAGAAAATGCATTCAGGCTAAATCCAGGCCAAGTGAATACTGTAGTAACTTCAGGGTTTAATATCTATCAAAGAATGTTAAGGGCAGGCATTGCTTGCACATCTGGAATGGCCCTATTTTAATCATAACTGGCCCTTCTATCTAGTGTTGACAGTAATCATGCTTTCAGAATCAATGAGTTAAAAGCAGAACAAACTAAGAATTATTTAATGCAGGTGAGTTAAATAACATTTTACTTCATATGAGAATGTGAAAAACAAAGCTACATTTTGGTGATTGTGCTTATGTATTGTAAATTTGCACATTACAAATGAACCACTTCATGAGTACAAATGTATAAGCTACATCAAGAGACCTGTGCTAATGACCCACACAGTGTGTAAGAGCTCTGTGAAGGAGAACGTATATTCCTATCTGAAACCTATTGGGCATAAATGGGAAATACATGTAAGGATTTGTTCTTTCACTCAACACATCTCCAAGACCCTTTAAAAATAATTACTAAATGTTATTGTATGCATTTCAATATTTTAATATAGAGTGTATAAAATATATATATATATATATACTCTATATATTATATACACTCTTTTTAAGTTGAAGAGATATGAGATTTATGAGTCAATTGGTAATTTGAACACTAAATGGGTATTTCATATGTGCTGATCTTAAGAAATTATTGTTAATTTTTAGGCGTGATAACATATCATGGTTATTAATTTTTGTCTTTTACAGATTAATAGAAAATTGCCGATAATAAGATGTCTGGGATTTTTTCTTTTCTTTTTTTTTAAAGATTTTATTTATTTATTTTTAGAGAGAGGGGAAGGGGGGAGAAATATAGGGAGAGAAACATCAATGTGAGAGATGAACTTCAATCGATTGCCTCTCATGTGTCCTGACTAGGGACCGAACCTGCAACCCAGGAATGTGCCCTGACTGGGAATAGAACCAGCGGCCTTTTGCTCTGTGGGGTGATGCCCAACCAACTGAGTCACACCAATCAGGGCAGATGTCTGAGACTTTCTTCAAAATAATATGGAAGCTGGGGAAGGGGGTGGGAATATACTTGAAGAAGGATTTGCCATGAGTTGATAATTGTTCATAATGGATGATAAGTGCATAAAGATTAATTATTCTATTTATACACATATTTGGAATTGTCTATAATAAAAAGTAAATCAACAAAATGTTGATTTCTTAAACACAGTTCAATTTCAATGTCCTCCACACAAGCTTTATCAAAGTGTACCACTTCGTGACTAAATGAAACTCATATTCTCAGCTGATGCCATATACCAACTTAGTCTCTCACAAAAACCCTTCAGTTCTGCTTCCAGTGACTGAATTGTCAAATCAACAGAGGGAAACCAGGCACAGATTTAGTTGGCAAAGTCTCCTAAGTAGTTAATTCCAGAAATGTCCAATATACATTAGATAAAATGATCACCATTTTCATCTGTAGATTTTAAAGATGTCACTTCATCCCCTTGATTAAAAAGATGTCTTTATTTCTTAAGAAACAAGTACACCAACATGATCATCTTAAATCAAGGCTTTATATTTTTACTACCTCGGTTGCAAGAACTCTCAAAAAGGTGAAAAACAACCCTAGCTGGTATGGCTCAGTGGATTGAGCACTGGCCTGCAAACCAAAGGGTCACCAGTCCGATTTCCAGTGTAGAGCACATGCCTGGGTTGCAGGGCAGGTCCCCAGCAGGAGGTGCATGAAATGCAACCACACATTGATGTTTTTCTCCCTCTCTAAAAATAAGTAAAATCTTTTTTTAAAAGGTGAAAAATATAAATACTGTTCTCAAGCAATACTCAACATTGTTCTTTTTTCTATTCATTAAAGCAGTAACACCACCTTTGGCTGGCCATGACACTGCCTAATTAGTTTCTTATTTAGAAGTCCAGTGTTTACTGTGGCATCAATAATTGTGTCATGAAATATGACTACATGTCTTTTGTGCCTGTGCTCTGAAATAGACAGTGGCATTTTTTTCTTTTTCTTTTTCTTTTTTAAAAAAAGATTTTATTAATTTTTAGGGAGAGGGGAAGGGAGGGAGAGAAACATCAATTTGAGAAACATTGAAGGGCCACCTAAAGTCCCTGAATAGGTTATTATCCCGACCAGGCACCAAATCCACAACCCGGGATGTGCTCTGACTTGGGATTGAACCGGCCACCTTTTGTTCTGTGGAATGACGCCCAATGCACTGAGCCGCACCAGTCAGGGCGACAGTGGCATTTTTTTCCATAAGTAATTTGAAAGTTGTCTCTAGCCTCAATGTTCTTAGTAAAATATATGTGTAAAATTTAATGGAGAAATTTGACTTACTGGATAAATTTTCAAAATTGTATTTATGTTAACTCAATAAAATGATCACTTTAACAGACTTTTATAGTAATGACCCATTTTACATTGTGTTTTTTTTTCAATTCAAAATAAATTTTATCTTCTATTTAATCTTCTATATTTTAGGCTTTAACATTTTGACACTACCTTATGCCTTAATTAAAGGTTCCAAAAATCTCTATCTCAAATCACCTAAAGTCCCTGAATAGGTTATTATACAAAACATTATGTTACTATAATATCATTTTGCAGTCATTACTTGTCTCTTCCCCATTTCCTTAATATGGAAGGGAAATCATTTCTTACTTGCCACTGGTGATGACAGCATTTTTGTTGTAGTCCATAATTAAAAGTTCTTTACTGGACAACAGAAAATTCAAATAAGACAGAGCAATTGAAGCATGTCAACTTTTGCATGATAATGTTGCTATTCTTTATCTGTGATCATTGGGTGAAACCTTTTCTCCCTAGATCATTTAATGCATTCGGTGACATCAAATATCCTTGACTATTGCCTTTATACAACTCACCTGTATTACTAATTTTGCTCTGTATTTTCTACCATATATTACGGGTGTAAAACCCACGGAGATGGGAATTCCATCAGCGCCATAAGGAGGAAGTTCTCCGGACTGAGGTTTTACGGAAAACCCAGGGTCACTCTCAGGTAGGAAGTATGCAGTGAATGGATCAGGACATCTGAAACAAAAATATAAATATCATCTTTAAATTTTATCATTACTCCAGTCTCTTTGTGCAAACTTGATGAACAGAACTGATACCCTGCTGCACTGGCTACAGTTAAACACTACTGCTGCCCGCAGCTGTCAGTCTGATACTTGTCACTTTATGGAATTCTTAAAGAATAACAGGGAAGTCACTTAAAAATTACTGGAGAGTGTCATTCTTCTCAGTGTGACGAAATGGAATCTTAAAGATTTTTTCCCATCACATCTTATATTTACAATGTACAAATAATAAAATGCTTTCTATATTAAAAATTAGAATAACTCAATGTTTTAATTGAAAATTCAGTCATTTGTAAATAAATTCATATCTAAAATGCCTGACCTCGATAGCTGTTATAAAGCCTTTGTTTTGACTATGATTCCAATGTGCTATTTGCTCACTCCTTTCTCTTTCACATTGTGAAGTAAGAAGAAAGTAGTTTACAGGTTCATTAAAGATCCTTGGGGCTGAAGATGAGTTGCTATGATCTGGAGTGAATTGAGTGACATGTAAGATTCAAGTGACTATCTTCCTGTCAAGGTTGATTACATTTGAAATGAAGACTGTGAAAGAAGTTGAGGAACTTCATGGTAGAATAAAGCAGGACAGAGGCACAGCACATGGGGAGGCTGTGAGTAAGAAATTTAAAATCCAGACTGACAGGGAGACTCAGGGAGAAGGTAAAAAACAGTTTCCTAGAACATATCTACCAGTGAAACATAGAAGAAAATACAGGAGGTTCAGAGGGGGACTTATTCATCCATTCAGCAAATGCGTATTGAGTATCATGGCACAGGGTTTAAAAGGTGGACTATGGACATGGGTGGCCTGGATTAGAATGTTAGTTCTATGTGGGTGCATGACTTCAGGCAATTTACTAGCCTTTTTGTACCTGTTTTCATATCTGTTAAATGAAGTTAATTCCTATAAAGCCATTAAATTAATGCCTGACATGTGGAAACTGCTCTATAAAGATTAATCAATATTAACATAGTCATTGTTATGATTGTTGTTTTGAAACATTTTATTACTAGTGCTAGGCACTGATGCATGATCCAATTATGAACAAAGTCCACTACTGAAAATGCAAAAGACAGAGGGAAAATGAGAAAGAAATAAAACCTAGGCATTGCCTAGAGAATGAATATATATAAATGAAACCTGGCTGGGAAGATAAGGCGCATGCATTAAAAGAAAAAACAATGATTGGTTTACATAGTGCTACAGGAGTTTAAGGTCTAACTGGTCAAGTAAGATTTTATTGTGAAGAGAAGAACAACGAGTAGAATTCAGAAAGTTGGAGAGGCGTTAAAAAGGGCATGCAGAAGCAGAAAGAAAATGAAGACAAGTGAGAAGGAGCAATGGGCAAGATAGGCTCTGATAATAGTGACTTTTACCATAAGATTGAAACAGAAGATCTATTTTAGACAGCAAGGAAAGGAAATCTGGAAGGTCTGAGTGGGTTAGGACAATGAAGTGCATATATAATTTGGATGTCACCTTGGGTGAGAAACAGGGGACTATCAGATGTTTTTCACAAGGAAAATTACATGTTAATAACTTGTAATAATTTGCTCTAAGGAGATTGGTTTTATTACAATGTATAAAATGGACTGGAATGAAAGGAACTACATATGGTATTAGTGAAACAAAATATATATAGAATTAGGGGTAGTAAATGTTAACATTGTGTATAATTGAAAAAATATAATTTGAGAACCTTATGCCAACTGTTTTTTTTCCCAATATTGCATTTGAGGAAATTATTGGTTATGAGGAAATCAGTTGAAACTATTTCACTAGCCCTGAAAAATCTTTTGAATGCATTCAATCAATTTACATATAATCCAAAATATCTAATAACTTGAAGTATTTTTGGAAGTTGTAAATAGGACTACAACAGATTCAAAATGGCTAAGTGAAACCCAGGTCTCTCCAATGATCCAATGCGAGAGATCCAAATATAACAGGTGATTATATATTTAACTGTCCATCATTCATTTTGAACTAAGTACATAAAATACCTCCAGGCATGCCCAGTACTTTTGTAAACTTAATTTCTATGGTGCATAGAGGATCAGCATGAGCCATCATGAAACACAGGCAGACAAGTCATTCATTTTATAAATGAAGAAAACCAGTAAATTAAGCGCTGCCTTCACCTATTCCACTTCTCAGATCTTGCATAGCATAAATGGGGAATGTGCTCACTCTGACCCAGTAACATGAAACCCTTCACCCCCAACTTATCAAAGGTTAGCTTTCTGTGGTCAGTAAACAATCTTTCATTCAGAAGACATCTGACCTGTGTAGGCCCTGTAGCAAAGAAATTTAGAGTAATTATCATCAGACCTTAGTCAGTGTTTTGAATATAGAATTTCGGGAGGTATTTATATGCTGGTTCTTTGAAAACATCAATAAAATTCATAAGCCTCTAGTCAGGCAAACTAAGAGAAAAAAAGACAGGACACAAATTTCTAGGACAAGAAATGAAAGAGGGACATCACCACAGACCCCACAGAAATGAAAATGATCATAAGGAAGTACTATGAACAACTCTATGCAAACAAATGTGATATCCTAGAGAAATGGATCAATTCCTTGATAAAGACAATCTACCAAAAACCCTATATGATCTAAAGAGGCCTTTATCTAATAAAGAAATTGAATCAATAACCAATAACCTTCACAAAGAGAAAGCAGGAGGTCCAGATAGGTTCACTGGTAAATTCTACCAAATACTATAAGACAAAAATCAACTGCTTTCCTATATGCCAACAATGAACAAGCAGAACTTTGAATTAACATCACACCATTTATATTAGCATCCTCCCAAAATGAAATACTTAGGTACAAATCTAACAATATGTACAAGATCTACAGCAGGAAAACTACAAAACTCTGATATATGAAATCACATAAGAAATAAATAAATGGAGATATTCCATGTTCATAGACAGGAAGACTCAATATTGTCAAGATGTTGCTCTTCTCAGTTTGATCTATAGATTCTAGTCAATTCCAATAAAAATCCCAGTAATTTAGTTTATAGATATCAACAAATGGACTTTAAAGTTCATATGGGGAGGTGAAAGACTCAGAATAGCCACCTCCATATTGAAGGGGAACAAAGTTGGAAGACTGACAGTCCTTGATTTTAAGACTTACTATCAAGTTGCAGTAATTAAGTGTTGTATTGGTGAAACAATAAATAAATCAGTCATAGAACTTAAGAGAGCCCAGATATAGTCATAAATATAGTCCACCTTTGACAAAGGACAAAGACTATACAATGGAGCAAAGATAGTCTCTTCAACAAATGGTGCTGGAACAGACCATCCATGTGCAAAAAAACATTAATCTAGACACAGACCTTACACTCTTCTCAAAAACTAAGTCAAAATGGGTAGTAAACCTAAATGTAAAACATAAAACTATAAAACTCCTAGAAGTTATCATAAGAGAAAATCAAGATGACCTTGGGTATTGTGATGAATTGTTAGATACAACAGTAAAGATACGACTAATGAAAGACATAATCAATAAACTGAACTTAAGTAAAATTTAAAATGTTCTACTCTGTGAAGGACAATATCAAGGGAATTAGGAGATACCCAAGACTGGGAGTAAATACTTACCAAAGACACATCTGATAAAAGACTGTTATCCAAAATATACAAAGAACTCTTAAAAGTCAACAATGAGAAAACAAACAGCCCATTTTAAGTATGGGCCAAGGACCTTATCAGACACCTCAGCAAAGAAGATATGCAGACAGCAAGTAAGCATTTGAAAAGATGCATCACATCATATGCCATCAGGGAGATGTAAACTAAAACTACAGTGAGAGACTACTATACGAACCACTATATGAACTACTTCTATTAGAGTGGCCAAAATCCAGAACACTGGCACCATCAAATGCTTGTGAGGATGTGGAGCAACAGGAACACTCATTAATTGGTGGTGGGAGTGCAAAATGGTACAGCCACTTTGCAAGACAATTTGGTGATTTCTTTAATTCATTCATTCATTCATTCATTCATTTATTTTTATACTTGCCTGAGGACATTTCCTCATTGCTTTTAGGGAGAGAGAAAGATTGATGTGAGAGAGACACATTGACTGACTGGCTGCCTTCTCTTATATGCACCCTGACCAGGGATCGAACTCACAACCTGGGTATGTGCCCTGATCTGGAATCAAACTCATGACCTTTCTGCCTATGGGATGATGCTCCAACCAAATGAGCCATACCAGCCAGGGCTGGTGATTTCTTACAGAACTAAATATACTCTTATCATAGGATCCAGCAATTGTGCTGCTTAGGTATTGACCCAAAAGTGTTGAAAACTACATCCACATTAAAACCTGCGCCCAGATATTTATATCAGCTTTTTTGTAATTGCCAAAATCTTAGAGGCAACCAAGATGTCCTTCAGTAGGTGACTGGATAAATAAACCATGGTACATCCAGACAGTGGAATATTATCCAATGCTAAACAGGAATGATCTATCAAGACATGGCTAAACCTTAAATGTATATATGACTAAGTAAAAGAAGGAAATCTGAAAAGTTTATATACAGTATGATTCCAATTATATGACATTCTGGAAAAGGCAAAACCATAGAGAAAATAGACAGACTAGCAGTTGCTAGGGGTGGGAAAGAGGGATGAATAGAGAGAACACAGGATTTTTAGGGCAGTAAGAATACTTTGCATGATGTAATCATGGCTATGTCACTATGCTTTTGTGCAAACCCATGGAATGTTCAACACCGATAGTGAACCCTAAGGTAAACTATGGACTTTGGGTGATCATGATGTGTCAAAGTAGGTTCATCCTTGTTTAAAAATGTACCATTTGGGTGAGTGATGTTGATAACAGAGGAGGCTATCTGTGCATGTGTAGGCTAGGGGGTATAGGGCAATCTTTGTACCTTCCTGTCAATTTTTTTGAAAGCCTAAAATTGCTTTTTAAAAAGTTTATAAAAGACATATTGGGTGATTTTATTTATTTGAAATAACCAAAGAAGGCAACATTATAGAGATAGAGAGCAGGTCACTGCCCTCCTGAGACTGTGTGTGGGAGTCGGGGGTTATTGCAAAGGGGCTTGAGGGAAATTTGGGGAGAAGATGGGAGAGTAATAAACCTGGAATGTGGCTATGATAGGAAATTCTATAACTTTTCAAAAAAAATTACTGACAGGTACAGTTACAATGGATGAGTTTATGGTAAGTACATTGTACCTCAAAACAGCTGTAAAAACGTATTTCACATGTGAGACAGGTAAAAGTTGTGTGGTTGTGTTGCCTAAGTTATCACAAGTATAATAAAGATAGCTATGGCTGAGCAGAATAATAATACAGAAAACTGAATCAATAAGTGACCCAATCATCTCTTCTTAAACTACTTGATAATCCCAAACCATTAAAATTTACTAAAGAACATTCCATTTATCTTTATAAAAATATATTAAAGCATCAATTGAAAAACAAATAGAAACATTATCCTAAATTTCAATATCTAATCATTTAATTTTACTTCTTGTTTTTTGGTCTTCACTTCGTAGGCCCTATTTTCAAAATTTTAAATAAAAATTATGAAATATAAAAAGCTTTTATTCATAGAAGCAATACTGCTCTGGCTTAACCAGCAGAAGATGACGTAATCAAATTTTTCATTTTAAGTTTTGTTTCTCAGTTCAGCATAAATCACATTCATAAAGCCAGTTACATACTCTTGCTTGATATATTTACCTTTTCTGACCTGACAGACAGAACGTAATAACAGATTCCTTCAGTAAACCAATCCCTGCAATATCAATGACACCATCCACTTCAGGGTCATCAGCAATTAACGTTATGGGAAAGTTCCAGACCCCATCCGTTTTGCACTCTATTCTCAGTATAATTTGAGTCCTTGAATAGAAAAAGAGATTGTAATGGATACTACAGGATAACAAGCAAAGAGAATACAATATAGCAGATGAAAATCTAAGGTGAAAAGTATAAGCAAACTTTGTGGTGTCTCTAAAAACATTGGGACTATTCTTTTTTTTTCTTTTAATTGTTCAAATATTTTTGTCTCCATTTTCCCGCCACCACTTTGGGACTTTTAATTCTTAAAAACCGTAGAAGACTGTTAATTACGCTTTAGAAATAATTTTTAGGTCACAGGTTATATTATCATTCTCCTTTTACAGTAATTATTTTGTAGCACATCTTATTTACTCTCTAGTTATTTAGTAAAAGTCAGGAACATCTGTAGACCTGACTCAAAATTTTCTGTGACCAGAAGAGGAAAGGTTGGCAAATGGTTCCAAGTATTATGCTAATAGATGTTCCAAATGGAACTTTTCTGTTCAAAATGAAACACTGTAAAGTTTTTTTTCAACCCTTTCTTCACCTACAAAAATAATACTGTCTGTGAACACTTAACAAAGCCCCATAACACTGACTTATACTAAAGCTTTTAAAAATTATATTGTAATTGATAAAGATCACACACACCTTATACACTAACATAAAATTGGGTGACAGTTGAGTTAATGAAGAGAGTAGAGATAGCCTTTCTAAGCCTTTGTGCAGAAGGGTGGAGGCAGAGTAGTACCTGAAGTTGAGGAATGGTTACCTCTTTGCTTGCTTGGAGTGGAAATGACTCACACATGTTATGATGTGGCAATATCACATGTCACACTGGACAAAGAAATCACAATCCTCTTATGGAAAACTGTCAGGAAGAACAGTTCTGGGGACTCTTAAGCTCTTTAAATAGCTAGCCAACCATTTAGGGACTAATTGGACAATATCTTACCGATTTTGAAGCTGCACACATTAAACCAGCAATTTCACTATTAGTAATTTCCCCCAGAGATAAGCATCGAAGATTTCAAGTGATATATATGAGGATGTTCATTTCTGTATTATTAATATGCCAAAAAACTGGTGCCAAAAATTTAAAAATAGTCCTTCCATAGAGTGCCGATAACAGTAAAGTACATTGCATTGAAACAGTGGACGGCCCATAATGACTGATACAGCTTACTGAACATGTATGCAAAGTGTAAACCTTACACTAGTACTTCTTTCACACTCTCCTGCCATAGTAAATGAAACTATTCCTCTCAGCACTATTTCAAGAACACTCTTTCAGTAACTGGTCTCCCTGCTTCTAATCTTGCCATCTACGAAGGAGGAGAGGACTTCCATAATTTCAAGCTATTGTTTTATTTTGTTTTTTCTTATTTAACTCTGTATCTACCTTTGAACCATCCCAAATCCATATGGAGCAAGGAATGGCAGAAATAAATGAATATGCACATATATGCACAAAATAGAGTTGTTAAATAACAACAGATCATCACCCAGAACTTTTATGAATCATGTGCACAAATTATCCTAAATCATTCCTCCCTGCCAATTTACCCTTCAGTCATTTCCAATTGTTTCTATTGTAAAAAACAAATTCATAGCCTCAAGACACTATGTGATCAGATCCTGGCCAAACTCTCCAAAGTTACTTTCTCCTTTGCCCATGCATTAGAGAAACACTGGCCTCCTTACTATTGTGTTCATGTCAAATGTTCTCCTGCATTTATTTCAAGATCTTATCTATGTCTTTGTTCAGATATCATCTTTTCAAGGAATCTTAACTGTCCACTTACCTGATATACACCCTTCATAGCTCTCTATTCCCCCTTGTTTATTCTCGTCTTAGGACAGTCTGAAATGTTTTGGTTACTTATACATTCTCTCTTATCTATTATACTCACTAGGCCATTTAATCCAAAAATGCAGGGGTGTTTTTCTTTTTTGTAGATGCTAAATGATTTTTGAATAAATGAATGAACATGTTCAAATGAACGATGTTGACTAATTTCATTCAGCGGACCAATTCTTTGAGTTAGTAGAGGCCACTGAGACAGACTTTTTGGCCCATAGCAAGGTATACAACTCAGTTTCAGGGATGATCCTATGAACTACTTTATGGCCAACACTGTGGATTTCTAACAATGTACACGTGTGATATTTCTTTTTCTGTCTCCTCCAAAGTCTATAAAATTGAACTTTGGTTTCTCATTCTGTTCATCCCTTGTGCAAGTGAAAATTTCCAGGAAAAAGTTGAACTAAGATAATTACTATTTCTAAAGATGTCCTAAGACAAATGATATCTATCATATCACTATTTTTTGAAAAAGTTTACATCTGTGTTAAATTAGAATCATCAGAGAGATTCATGACAATATTAACTATTGCTCTCTTAAGTATTTGTATTAAATCCTTGATTTTTATTGGGGAAAAACGGTCAAGAACTTTAGGAATAATATTCCTATTTTATTTCCTTTCTAAAACCACCATTTAGGGCCTTGACCATTATTTTTATTATGTACAACACTATTCTGTGAAAGGATGGATGCTAAAAATTACGTTGTATTTGCTATTGTAAAACATGTTATATTTTCCTTTTACCAAAACATGAGAGTTTTTTTCTTTTTTACCTTGCCAACTAGGAATAAATAATTGAATTTAATACTTATTTTAATTATCTAGGTAAAGCATGGTTTGGGTATAATCATATTTTGTTCCTTTTTTTCATAGTTTAGAGTATTGATTTTATTTTAGTTTTTCTCATTTAACTGTGTGTCTTGCAGTGAACCATCCTTAATATATATGGGAGAAAGAATGACAAAAATAAATATATTTATAAATGTATGCACAAAATAGAATTCTTAAACTACACAGAACATCACACAACACTCACAAAAACTTATGAATCATGCATACAAGTTGTCCTTAAATAAGTTTCTCAAACATTCACAAAGAAGCTTTAAATCCACAAAATGTTAAATGAGTATAAATTCACATTGATTCTGCTCATATTCACTAATGATAATATTTTCCTCTTCTGGTTGTTGCTGGTAATTTGCATATCACTAAATTAACACAATACAAAGCTAAATGTATAAAAATACTGACAAATAAGCATAGGAAATTATGAAAATGAAAAAGAAGACAAAACAGGGTTATGTCAATCTTTATAGGGTACTTTCTTCTTGCAGCTTGATTTTATCACTGCCTCATGAAGATGACCCTGGTATCTTTTAGTTACTGGACTACATATTCACAGCCACTTTAAATATATGCCTGGCTATATCAGATACATAGCTGAACTACAGAAATGATTAGAAGCACAAGTAATACTTTCAATTGTTTTTTCATTGTCAGGCTGTATTTTGTATTTTGTGCATACTGTGGTTCTGATCAGTATCACTGCATTAAGATATAAATAAAACCCTATTTCAGATGTGACCTATCCCACAGTATTTGCAGGGACTAAGTATCAGTTGCCTACAAAGTAAATATAAAGACCCTGGATGAGGCTTCCCAGTGGACAGACATTTAAAGTTTGCTATTCTAACAGATTCCAGTATAACCCTCTTAAACATTACTAAACTACGTGCAACATTATGGCTTTAGGGGTAATGACAGAAATTGCAACGTTAGAAAGAACATAGTTTAGGATTTTTATCATTTGAACTGGTTTTGAGGAGTATCAAGAAACATCATGTTGCCAATGTATAATGCAAAGTCAGTATTTCTTTTTTCTTTCTTCATTTTTTAAAAAAGATTGTATTTATTTATTTTTAGAGAGGGGGAAGGAAGGAAGAGAGGGAGAGAAACATCAATGTGCAGTTGCCACTTGCGCACCCCTCTACTTGCGCGGGGATCTGGCCCGCGACTCAGGCATGTGCCCCAGACTGGGAATCAAACCAGCAACCTTTTGGTTTTCAGGCCAGTGCTCAATCTTCTGAACCACACCAGCCAGAGATCTTTTTTCATTTTTAAGACATTTTTCATTAAAGTATAGTTGGCATATGCTGTTCCATCAGTTTCAGGTATACAATATTTATGATTAGACATTTAGATGTGATCACCATACTAAGTCTAGTAACTATGTGTCACCATGCAAAAGTGTCACAATAATACTCCCTTTCACCTTTTTATTTTTACAAGGCAGACTCCTGTCTTTTGTTAATATTATACCCTAATGACCTTAGGGAGGTCACAATTCAGGAAGGGTATCTTAGATTTCTAATCATTTAGACTGCTTTTCCTCATCAGACACTTTTCACAGCTTGATAGCTAGAAAAATAATCTAGCTCAAAATATTTACCTCAACAGCATTAAATAAGTAATGCAATCCAAATATTAAAAATATGGAAAGAAAAATAAACACTAGTTTAAAAGAGTAATAATATTGTTTAAGGAAAAGAAAGGATAAAAGCAGGTTTACCTCAATGGTCTCTTTGGTGAAAATATCACATTGAAGTCCAATGTTATCGTCTGAGTCTTGACATTGTAAGATCTCGTCCTCAAATATATAGACACAAAGGGCTCCAAGTAAGACTTCACCTCTTCAGATTTATATAAAATTTCATATTCAAATTCACGTTTTATCGGTAAAACTAGGAAAATCAAGATTGAAATACATTTCAATTTAATTAAATATGTATAGAATGGACATCAGTTACATGTCAACACTAATCATACACAGGTATTTAGAGGGAGGGAGAGGGTAGATGTTATTTGTTGTGTTTACAATACTTAGTGTATTACCAGGTAAATAATAGTACTCAGTATGCTTTTGTTAAAAGGTAAATAAATAAATGAATGAATATAAAAAAAATCACCAAAGATAATTCCCACCATCCTTAAACCTTTAAAATTCAGAATTATAAAATAAGAAATAGCCAAATGGAAATGACTAGTCAATATTTACTGTAAAATACAAATAACATGACATGCTCTATATAATAAATGTAATAAAAGTGTATAGACATAATTTATAAAGAAAGATTTGAATTAAGTTTAATCAATATTAACAAGAGGGAAGGGGGGGCAGGGAAAGGGAAGGGAAGGGGAAAGTCAAGGAACATATAGCAAGGACTCATGGACAAAACCAAAGGGGAAGAGCTGAGGGAGGGAAGGTGGGAGGGGGCAAGGGAAAGAGGTGGGGGGGGAAGGCAGAGACAAATGTATTTAAAAAAGTAAATAAATTAATTAAAAAAATAAAAAAAAGTAATAGATATAAACAATAGCAGTGGCAGGCATTCAACAGATACTCAATAAATATTAATCTATTTGCCTCTTCAAAAAAAAAAAAGTTTAATCAATATTAAAACAGTATCCCAATCTATTAGGGCAGGAGTTTCAAGTTTTAGTTTATTTTGCTCAAAGAGAAAGTTCTTCATGTTTTAGTCTCTGAGTATTATAGACAATATGGTTAACCGTATTTTCTTAACTAGTCAGTTACCAAAGGAAAAGTTACAGCAGGGTGTGGTTAGGTACATTGTGAAAAAAAAGTCAGGACTGGCACATAGAAGAGAAGCACAAACATCTATTATATTTACTCTCCACATACATGTAAGCAGCCCAAATTCCAAGTCAAGGAGTTTGTTACATGTGGGTCATGGAAGGGAGGTCAGAGAACCATGACCTGGTCCACAGGCAAGCTAATTTCTAAAACCCATCTCTAGTGTATAAGGTAAAAGTGATCTTTGGGTATACCAAAGTGATGGCCACCTGGCTCTAAGAAACCCTAACAGAAACCAGACCACCTTCCAGATATAGGTGATTATAATTTCTGCAATAGAACTCTGAAAAATAGCTTGGGAATAACATGCCCAAGTCACATTTAATAATTACTCAGCAAACCTTATTAATGTAAGATAACTGACCCACACCCTTACAAGATCTCTTTTTTTTTCTTTTTCCACATGTAAAAATAAATCTCTGACCTTCTGAATTGCTGGTTTTCATCCTGTTGACAAAGCGGCAATTGTTCTTATTGGTAACTGTTCTTTGCTCTAGCAAAATAGTAGTCTACATATATTGTGTCTATTTATTTTGGGGATGGGATGTGGAAATGTTCTATAGGAAGCCATATTCCATACAGAGAAATGGAATTTAAGAAATTGAAGAGTGTTTAATGAAATTCCCATTTCAAGAAGCCAATACTGTAGTTGAGATCTGCATCCATTTCTGCTTAATTACTGAAGCCTTCATGGGAATGGTTGGGTCAGAATGATGATATGAAAGGAGAAGTTAAACTTAGTTTCAGGAGCTTTGAATGCCCTCTGGGGAATCTGTCACTATGGACGTTGTAATCCCAATCCTCAAAAGATCCATTGGTACAAAATACAGAAATGCTTATCAGCTAGGGGATGGAGAGTGGACGTGAGGCAAGTAGAAACCACATGAGTATATTTTTCAAACTACACATATCCCCTTTGTCTATAACTTGAATATATTGACATGAGTATCTAGGGGAGAGGAACAGAATCAAGTTGGACAAAATCATGATAAACTGACATTCTGTATTGTGTCTTAAAGCTGCTCTGTTGATTCTCTGCACTTTATTGGAAAAATTATATTACCCAGTAAGAAACATGCCTCTTGCTATGTTCCTATTTTGGAGAGAACCTATATAATACTTTCATGTGGACTGGGTTGATAAGAGGTAAGTTACTTAGGCCAGTGTAAATTAATTATCATCTGATCGTTAGATGAAATTATTCTCTCATCACAAGCATAGCTCATAACTTTAAGAGACTAATTACACAATTCTAAAAGAAATGTGTTTTAATAAATGTAGCTTTCTATAATACACATCACAATTTCAAAGTTACAAGTCAACAGTCCTTGGGACTAGTGTAACAATTTTTTCAATATTGGAGGGAAATTCTGTCCTTTTACAGCAAACCTTAAAAAGACACTTGAATTCATGAGATTAATAATAAGGATAACTACATATTTAACTTCAATTGTGTTTTAACAGGTATGTCAATATTTACTAACCTCTGTTTTTTTCTATCTTACAACATAAAATGGTTATCCCGTGCTTGTTTTAAAGCACCTCCCATTTTCAATTATCTCCTATTCTCTGAAGATTTGCATGAATGCTAAGACCTGTAGATTTTGCCCCAATTAAACTTTCTAGCTTTGGCTAAATTAATGAACATGAGGCAGATAGTTTTGTTCCCACATCAAACATTTAAACATACTTTAAAAACATAATATTTTTCTTATCATTTACTCATTTCTTTATTCATTCAGTGAATAATAATTGAAAGCTTTCCTTGAAATGATGGTTCTTGTCCTCATAGAGCTTATGAGTGAGAGGAAAGAACAGCCAATAAACCAGCAGTGATATCATTAGTTTTAAAAAATATTACTGTGATAATTGCTACTATGGAGAAGTAAAGGAGGCTATGAGAGCAGAGGTCCTGAGGAGGAGACCAATACACCAAACTGGAAGGCAACAGGAGCTACCTGGATGTAGAGAGAAACAAAATGCCTCCTAGGCATCAGAGAAGCATGAGGAAATTTTCCATGGTAGAAACCAGCTCAGCCCATTTGAGGAAGAACTTATGTGGGTAGAGCAGAGAGAATGGAAAGAACATGTCAAGAGGTAAAGCAGATGAATGCTTGGTAGTGAGGATTTGGGACTTCTAAGAATAATGGGATGCCACTGAATGTTTTAAGTATGGAAGTGATGTGCTCAGTTAATGTATACTGAACAGAAGGGGATTAGAAGATAAGTTACTGAAGATTCTACAGTAGTTTAGTCTAGGTTGTGACTGGACAGGAGAGGAGTTTGTACATTAAGATCAAGAAATGTGTCCTGACTGCTGAGGCTCAGTTGGTTGGGCGTTGTTCTGCAAAGCAAAAGGTTGCCAGTTCAATTCCCAGCCAGGGCATATGCCTTGGTTGCGGATTTGGTCCCAGGTCGGGGTGCAGGCGAGGGGTAACCGATTGATGTTACTCTCCCTCTCTTTCTCCCTCCCTTCCCCATTCTCTAAAAACTAAATAAGTAAAATCTTTAAAAAGCAAAGAAACACCCAACTATGTATAAAGTGGGAACTATGTGAGTAGTCATTAACTGGTAACTAGAATCACTGTTTATCAATTCAGTACTGTATTCATACCCTTAATATATACACAGAATATTTAATCAAACAGGTTTCAGAGAATTTCAGAGTATCATATATCTACATCTATCTATCTACATATTTATCATGTCATTAAAATAATAATGATAATAATCATTTGGGTATGCCAGCAAAGTCATTATATTGAACAGAAGACATACGTGTCCAACCCAAATATTGTCCTTGCATAATGATCATTCAACAGAATGCCTGTATCATAGTACCAAAAAATCATGCAGTGGGAGCTCCGTTGGCCAAAGGTTTCTGTTACTAGGGTGAATTTTCTCAAGACACCTGACTAAATTTTATTCAATGTGGAAGAATATCAGTAATTAAAAAAAAAAAAAGAGCTCTTGACTGAATGTGCTAAATAATCACAAAGTAGTGAATTATAACAAACTTATTTGCAAAATAGATTTTGAAATTACTCATTATTATACCACATACATTTTAATCTATAAGAAATACATTTTACAGCAAAACAAAAGGGCCTCAATTATGGAGAAATGAACATCAGAGTATAATAAACACTGTTATTCCTCTAAATTTCTGTGATGCTCTTTATTAATAATAGGCATATATATTTGTTTGGCAGAACATAATAATCACATAAGGAATGAATGGTGTACTGTAGACAAGTATGAAAAAGAATGAAGACAACAAGGTATTCAAAGAAGATAGAGGAGATAGAAGATAGAGCTATTTACTTTGAACAGATAATGAAGAATATGTCATGGGCACACTTATTATTTTTATAAAGTTGCATATTTTAAGAGGAATGACAGTTACATGTTTCATTCACTTTAATAAGGTAATTTAATAGATCAAACATGTTGATTAACAAAATAACTATATTCCTCTGATATGACTGCAAGTACACTGTTCTACAAAATGAAAATTAAAGGAAGAAAGCGGCCACATGGCAGATGTTTTTCTCATCAGAAATAAAACATAAAGGGATTAATTTTAACATAAATATTTTAACTGAGCTTTTAACAATTCACAACCAATTTCAGACTCTGTCCAAGATTTGGGTGCCATATTTTTGTACTTTTTTTGATAAAATATTCTTTTGCATATTAATGATAAAACTCACTGAATGACATTGAGAGGACCATGTTTCTATCCCAAAATATCATTTGCCAGTAAATAAGGAGAGGCCGCTAGTACATCACAATCATAGAATACCTAGCTAGAGCTTAATTTTTTAAAAAGATTTTATTTATTTTCAGAGAGAGGAGAAAGGAGGGACAAAGAGAGCGTAAGAAACATTGACATGCGAAAGAAACATTAACTGGTTGCCTCTCACACCCCGCAACCAGTGACCTGGCCTGCAACCAGGCATGTGCCCTGACTGGGAATTGGTTCACAGGCTGGCACTCAATCCATTAAGCCACATCAGCCAGGACAGAATACCTAGCTAGAGCTTTAAATGCTGATAATGTTACTATCTAATACTTAATGAACACTCACTG